ACCCTGGCCCGGGTTCTTTGAGATGGGCCCTCCACAGCCATTCCCTCGAGTGTCTCCCATGAGGAGACTGGCTGTTCCTTGTCCCGCTTTCCAGGGAGCCCAGGGCACAGCTCCCACAGGAAGCCTCAGAGCCTGGAGCCTGCCTGGAACTGCGTCTCAGTCCCTGGAGTGGCTCCGGGTTCTGGTCACCGGATTGGTTTGGGGAGGAAGGGAGCAAGGGCAAGACTTTGTCTCACGGGAACTTTCTTAGCTTTCACTTCTGCTTTTTCACGCTTGAGGCACTTTTTCCTCTTGATACCTGTTCTTTTAAAAGTGCCTTGGTTTTAAAAATTAAGGTAGCAAAAGCAGTTTCAGGAGGGCAGGGAAAGTTCTCTGTTGGCCTGGTGCTGGCTGTGCGAGTGTGTTCACTTGATGATGTCTTGGAGGTGCTGTACACCTAGGATTTGGGCACTTTTCGGTATGTATCTTCTACCTCAACAAGAGTGAAGATTTTACGATTTATTACGAGAGGAGTATCAGCCCACCTGTTGCCACAAAAGAACAAAAGACAAGGTGATGCCAAAAGAGGCTAATCAGTTTAAACTGATGGGAAAATGGGGAGTCCACAGTGAAAGTGGGGACTGACCCAATAACTTTACTTATAGGGTTTTATCCTGAAGACACAAAGACATGTGCAGAGTTTTGGCAGTGGTATTAGAGTAGTGAAAAACTGGAAACTGGAGAATTAAATGCTGAGTGATAGTTAAATAAGAGTGGGCACAATCGAAAATGGCGTGCTATTTTGTCGTGAAAAAGGATGCTGTCAATGTTTGTTTATTAAAGCCATTTATGAAAAGCAGAGCGCAATCTCATTTTTAAAAATCGGAAGTATATACTTCACATACATGCATAGAAAATCATCAGGAAGAATGTACACCACAATATTAAGAACGGATTACGCCTGAGGTAAAGAAGTATGGGTGATTCTTACTTCCTCATCTGAGTTTTTTCTGCCAGTGAGCGCTCGTGGCTTGTTCAGCTCCATACGAGAGGAAAGGCGCGGGTCGGGCAGCAGGTTTGGCTCTCCGCCTCCTCACCAGAGTCCGTTCTGTCGCAGCCCCACGTCTCCCGGTCGAGGGGAGGCCAGGGCCAGTGCTGGCAGCTCTGTAACAATCCCGCCTTCCCACACTGTCAGAAGTCCCTGATGTTCCAGGAGCCCGATCAGATATAGTATCGCAAGTTTGGAGGCTCAAGGGGACTTCTGTTCAACTGTACCGATGCTCAGATCATACTTGTCAAAGGGGGGGTGTCTCTCCTCTTTCATGGGCCCCTCTGCACTGTAGGGGCTGGGAGAGCAATTTTGCCTCCACTTGGGGATTTCCCACAGATTGTCTTTAGAGATTGAGTTTTTCATTTTCCAGGATTCAGTTTATCCCTTCCACTTTGAGGACTTCCTACCCCACGTAGTTCCACATTTCATTATAAAAAAGTCTGATATTATTCAACGACATTACGGAACTCTGTGAAAGGCAGAAGTTCTCTTATTTTATAACCTCCTTGGGGCTGCGGGTGCAGTCATGGGTCTATCACTGCTGCTCAAGAAATCACTTGTGCCCTTACGGATTGAGACACAGCACCCCACGCTGAGACAGACGCCTCCAGAAGCAAGACCTGAATGCTTGGAGGAAGAGCCCTGAGACTTGCTGTGACTCTCTTCAAGCTGCTCCCCATCCCTGGATGTCAACTGAAGAGGTCTCGACCGAGTCATGCTGAGCAGCCCCCACACCTCCACCCCCAGCTCTAACCGCCAGATTCTGAGAACATGGCTCGCGGTAGCTCTGGCCTGCCCACCCTTTACCCCAATGCGTGCACACAGTGGTATCATAACCCTTGTGGTGTACTGTAGAGGTACAGTCTTGTTTCGTGTCAACTAAGGAAAACACATAAAGAAAAAAAGTCACCCTTCCCACCCCACCCCACCCCCAAAAAATAATAGAATGGATATATAAGGAAGGAAGGACTGTTGCTATTCTCTTAGAGTGCTGTTTGGTCTTGTGGTGGCTGTCGTACAGGGCCCATCTCCATGTTAGACGTATTTCTCTGAAGGGCTGGGCTTGCCTCCTGGTCTGACCATGGGCCTGAAAGAGAGGCAGATGACCGACCATGATTGCAGCAAGAGCCCCCACAGCATGGTACTGTATCCATCCATGTCTCTCCGCCCGCCCCAGCCTCCCAGCCCCTGCAGGGTCTGTGAACTTGTTCCTGGAACACCAGCGTGGGACTGGGTGAATGACGTCAGCAACTCTGTCAAGGGCCTTACATTTGCCATCTTGCTGTCACAGCAACCTGAGGGTGGGGGGCACTGGGAAAGAGAGATTAGAGAACTTGCCCAAGGTCACATAACTAGGAGGCGATGGAGCCAGGATCTGAACCCAGTTAGTTTAGCTTCTGGGAGCCTTTGTCAGGGCACCCATGGAGGTGAGAGAAGGAGGCTGATAACCAAAGGTCATCAGTTGAGCTGATTCTCAGCCCCGGGGAGGATGTGAGCAAACCACCACCATCAGCCAAGCAGAACTACTTTATCTCACACAGACAACCAAAATTTGATGTCCCACTAAAAATGTGTGTTAATTCAGGACTGGGCTAGCACCTCCTAAATGGGCTGATTCATCATGAATGTCATGTCTATGCACACCGTCCTCCAAACCTCTCTGGAAGCTGAGCTGCCCTCAGTCATCACTGAGTATGTTAACTCAGGCATGTGGATCCCTCAGATGTGTTTACTCTGTATAGCTTTGTATTCTAGGGTTTTGCTCTCTGTTCATTTCAGAATGAGAATTTTCAGAGAAGATAGATAAGGGATGATTCTCCTCCAAAATCTCCCAACTGCAACCCAAGTACTTGCAAATGCTAAAGATCTTTCTTTGTTTTTAAAGGGTCTTTATCCCCTTGTTATACCGTTTATAATACAGGCATTGGAAATTCATTACATTTCCATTGTTAAAAATGATATGTATTGGGCGCCTGGGTGGCTCAGTTGGTTAAGCGACTGCCTTCGGCTCAGGTCATGATCCTGGAGTCCCGGGATCGAGTCCCACATCGGGCTCCCTGCTCGGCGGGGAGGCTGCTTCTCCCTCTGACCCTCCCCCATCTCGTGCTCTCTCTCTCTGTCTCATTCTCTCTCTCAAATAAATAAAATCTTAAAAAAAAAATGACATGTATTTTGGGACGCCTGGGGGGCTCAGTCGGTTAAGCATCTGCCTTCGGCTCAGGTCATGATCCCGGGGTCCTGGGATCGAGTCCCCGCATCAGGCTCCCTGCTCAGCTCTGCTTCTCCTTCTGCTCCTCCCCCTGCTTTTATTCCCTTTCTCACTGTCTCTCTCTGTCAAATAAATAAGTAAAATCTTTTAAAAAATGATATATATATTTAAAAATAATAATGCTATATGAGATATTGAAATTGGATTCCTGCAGAGAAATACCAAGGAGTGTGAAATGCAAACCCTAGGTATAAAATTTGAAATATTCTCATCTACTGAAAGGAGCTGGTTATCCTTAAACATCCCCATCCCCCAAGCAGCAAGGAGCCTGAGCTTGGATAGAAGTTTCAGTTCTGATATTTGCAGTCAGTGTGGCCTTAGACAAGTCACTAAATGTCCTAATCCTCAATTTCCTCATCCAAAAAAATGGTGGTGGTGGTAACTACTTGAAAGATTGTTATAAAACTTGATATTTAAAAAAGAAATATATATAAAAAGGAACTGGTACTCTGTAGGCTTTTATTAAGTGGTGTATTATTTTGATAATCTGAGAGTCATCATGTCTCTGCCGTCTTGGGTAGATTTCCTGATCTGAGCCGCTAATCTGTGAGATGGGGCGATGGTATCTATCACATGGGGTTGCTGTGTGGAGAAGAGAGATCCTGAGTGTAACCCCCATCGCGGTGCAGGGCTAGAGTAGGGCTAGTTAGATGTTAGCACAGGCTGTCTCAGCCTAAGTTCAAAGGACAGAGGAGATTGAGGCTTCTCTTCCAGGCACTGGTCTTTGTTTTGCTTGTTTTTTCCTGATCATCTCAGAATGATCATGGGCTGGAATTGGATCAGGAAGTCACTTGGGCTGCCAGATAGCTAACTGCTCCTGCCTCTGGGTCCCTTTTCTTCCATTCTAGTCCTTGGTGGTAAATCAAGGCACTACAATGGCACAGGGAAATTAGGAGCCTAGGCAATTGTTTATTTGGTTCCCTGAAAAAGACTGGCTCTCAAAACACTAGTCTCTCAAAATCTACAACAAGGAAATAGAAAAAGAAGTTTTCTTAAGAAAACAACAAAACCAGTTGGATTCATCCAGATAAAGAGACCTCAGGTCTTTTGAGGAGCTAGGACCAATGGGGGGAATCCTTCAGATGGGATTTTTGGTGCTAGGCCAGAGAAAATTGAGATTTACGGAAGTCACACTGCTCTCCCCATCAGCCCAAACTGTGCTTCCATTTCCTTACCTTGCCAGCCTTGTGCCTCTCTTTGCTCAGGACTCTCTGCCCCCAGAATTCTACTGCTATGGCCTCTCTGGGAAAAGTTCCTGCCAACTTCAGCTTGGGAAGCTAGGACCTGTGCATAGGGTTGCCCAGGGTTAACAGGCCCAGGGGTTATAAAAGATTCACCTGGGACATTTGCAGACCCGTCTTCGGTTCCCTGAATAAGAAAAAGAAGGAGTAAAGTGACTGCCTCCCCAACACCAATAGTCCCCAAATAGATTTCCTCCTTCCCTCTTCCTATTTCTTTAGGATTAATAACTCTTGAGAGCCAGGTTAAGAGCTGCCTTTCCAGGGCGCCTGGGTGGCCCAGTTGGTTAAGCGACTGCCTTCGGCTCAGGTCATGATCCTGGAGTCCTGGGATCGAGTCCCACATCAGGCTCCCTGCTCGGCAGGGAATCTGCTTCTCCCTCTGACCCTCCCCCCCCCCCCCCCATGCTCTCTCTCTCTCATTCTCTCTCTCAAATAAATAAATAAAATCTTTAAAAAAAAAAAAAGAGCTGCTTTTCCAGCCCTCTTCTCATCAGTTCTAAAAGCATTGCAAATAGAGATGTGGGTTAAGATGGGTTAGTACAGTCACCCACAGTGGGACCCAAAGTAGTAGGGGGTTCACTGGGAAATGGCCCAGAGTAAATCTCAACCGGTCACGGTTTTGACCCAGTCTTCCTGGGCACTAGTCCCAGGGCCACAGGGGCACACCCTCTCCCGCTGGCGTTTGTAATAAACCAGAAACTGCACTCCCTGCAGCCTTCGCTTCGCCAAGGGAACACAATTCTGCTGCCGCTCCTGGGATAAGGGCTCTATCTTCCTAAAAAACGTCCCAGAGAGTGGAAAGAGGAGTGGAAAGCGGTTTCTCGAGTTCTGTCTCCAGGAAAGAAATGGACTGTGCCTGACCCCACAGTGCAGCTCAGGTCCCAGAAATTTCCATCCTATCTCCTGGCAAGGGCTGCCTGGAGCAAGCAGCGCACGAGGAGGAAGTGGGGCAAACCGTTTCGCCCCACTCCACGCGCCCCTAGAACTTACTGTGGTTGCAGATGACGGTGATGACCAGTGACAGGAGAAGGATGGCGCAGGTGCTGGCCAGGGGTGCCCAGATGTAGATTTCACAGGCGAGGTCCAGCCCACTTTTTTCCACTAAAGACGCCGACGTTTAGGAGCTGGCCCGGGATCCTCCAACCCACACCACCAGCTGGGGCCTGTCCCTCGGGTCGGGTCTCGGTTTCCCCACCATTTGGACAGCTTTCGGCTCTACCTCCAGGATCAGGGCTGAGCCTGGCAGGGGCCCTCCCCGCGGTCCGCACCGCCCCTGGCGGGTCCCAGTCCCGGCACCCCTGCGCCCGTCTCACCTGCGCTGCCCGCCGCAGGCCGGCAGATTCTCGGGCGCAGAGACATCGGCTGCGACGCGTTGGTGGGCGCCCGCGTGGGTAGTCGCGGCGCGGGCGTCGGGGTGGGCTTGACTGCGGGAGAAACAGGGCGTGGTTGGAGTCGGGCAGGGGACATCGACGCTAACCCTCCCCACCGCTTCGCGCGCCTTTGCCCAACGGGACGCCTCCTTCGCCCGCGCCGACCTCTGCACTCAGGGAGGGGAGATGAATTGGGGACCTCCAGGATTCGCGCTCACCCCTTCGCGGCGCGCGCCGCAGCCTGCTGGGTCCCGGGCCGGGCCAAGCGCACCAGGCGCCTCGGACCGGAACGCAAGAGCCCGCTCCCCGTCGCCCAGCCTCTCTCCGGGGCTCAACCTGCAAGCTTGTGGGCTTGGGTTGATAGCCGCATTGTAGTGACAAGCCAAGGCAGGCCCACAGAATTTAAGTAACAGCCCAGGAGCAGACAAGCCCCCGAACTCGAGCCTAGATCCGCCGGACCTAAGAAGCCATCTTCAGTACCCCCAGCCGCATCTTAGCCTCAGTTTCCTTGTCTGTGAAGCAGTATTAAGTAGCCGCCACCCCCAAGGGCGCTAAGAGGTTCAAAAGCGGGACGTCCGTGTCAAAAAAAGGGGTTCAGAGGTGAGCCCTAAAACCCACACCGAGAGGTGCCGCGCCCCGGGCGCCCGGACCTGGCAGGAAGACCGGCACGAAGGGGCTGAAGTACAGCATGGAGTTGTTCAGGACAGAGCAGAAATAGTAGCCTTCGTCCTCCTTGCGGAAGCGCTGCAGGGTGAGGTTGTAGAGGTTGTTATGCATCCTCGTGCCCGAGATCTGTTTGGGGTCCAGCCCTTCCGCCAACTTGGTCCGGCTTGGGGAGAGGTACATGAGGAAGACGGGGCGGGCGGCAGGTTCATTCTTCTGGTAGAGCCAGGAACAGCCCAACGCCTTGCTGGGCAGCAGCACCTCGCACTGCAGCTCCACCTTCTGAATGTCCAGCTGTGCGACCACCGTCGGCGGCGACATGCGGAACTGGATTGGCCCGGCGGCCGCGGCGGCATCTGCGGGCGGCAGGCATCGAGGCTGAGCCCGGAGCCCCGCGCTCCTCGTCTGCCCCGCCCCCCGCCCTCCCGGACGGTCGCAAACTCACGGAGCAGCAGGGCCAGCGGCAGGAGCAGGGCGGTCACCCGAGAGGCCATGGCGCGCTGCGCGCGGCGCGACGCGTGCGGACTCGCGCTGGAGCGGGTGGGACGCGGAGGGGGGAAAGTTGCGCCCTTCGGCCGGCCGAGGAGCCCCATTTCGCGCTCGGAGGATGTGATGTCACCCGAAGCCCCGCAGAGGAGAGTCGCCCTCTTTTTCGCGGTTGCCACCTTCCAGCCCAGGGAGGAGGCTGGGGTCCATGATCTGGGCCGTCAAAGCGGGCTTGCAGGGCAGCTGGGGACGGTTAAGAGCTGCGGGCTTGAGGATGAAGAAAAAGGCTCGCAAATGACCTTTGGAAAAGGCTCTCTTGTGGGGACGGCAGAGACAGAGGGTAAAGAGAGATTACAAGAGGCGAAGAAGGTGAGAGTAAGCAGGAAAGCAGGGTGTCCACTGCCTTTGTAGTCACTCAGAATGGCTCTAGCAAGATGGGCACTGAAGCTTGGGGAGGGAGAGGCGCTGGTGACTTGCACAGGTCCCCAGCAGGGTAGTCTGGTGTTCAGCAGGAGGGAGAATACCAGGGGGCAGCAGCTACCTGCCTTGTGTGGGACTGGAGTCCTCTGCTGACCACACCCTTGGAGATTCCTCCCCACTGCTAAACATCACCATACAGCCTCACATTTTTTCTTGGGGCCACTGCAACAGCCTCCACATGAGTCCATCTCTTGGCCACACCTTCAGCCACCCTGCCATGATCATGATTCTCACAAAGGGGATCTGACAGTGTCACTCTTGCAGCCTCCTGTGACTTGTAGGACTGGATGGAAGCTGAAACATGGCTTGGCTCAGAGCCTCTGGGTGCTGGCTCCTCCTAGCCTCTGCCCAGTCCCCTGGCCCTGCATTCTCACTGAACTTGACGTTGTCTAAACTCTGGACTCCTTGCCTTTGGTGTTCCCTTTGCCTGAAATACCATTCTGTTTAACCCCTGGCCCCAGCTCCAGTGCTGTAGGACGTGGACCTCATTCCTCTGTATCCTTGGCTTTAGGCGCTTGGCAGGGACACGTGTGAAGCCTGGGTGAATGCCTGGGTGGAGGCAGTTTTCCCTCTCAGGCTCCGGCACATCATACCCCCTTCCTTCTTAGCCATTGCTATCCTGAAACCTTCCAGCCCCAGTGAATACCTGCCTCTCCTTTCTTCAGGGTGCCCGAGCCTTCCCACTTCGAATCCTATAATGAATACACCTCACACTGTTGCTACTTGATTCTAGAGTCAAGCCACGTGGCATTATCTGTTCCATGTGTCTGCCCCATCTGTGGGTTTTGCCTGATGAGGACTGTGTTGCGGACACCCCTCCCCACCATGTCATATCATAGCTTGGGCTGAGCTGTGTTTGTAGAACTTAAATGTTGGATGGGGCTTTACAAAAAATTATTACCATTTCTTTTATTTCAATGTGTGCTCCCCCCCCCTTCTCAAATCATTCAAGGTGCTTACCCCTATGTAAGGGGTAACATTTAACATATTTTATTTTATTTTAATTCCAGCGTGGTTAATGTACAGTGTTGTATTAGTTTCAGGTGGACAGTAGAGTGATTCAACACTTCCATCCATCACCCAGGGCTCATCACAAGTGCCCTCCTTCATCCCCATCACCTGTTTCGCCTCCCCTCTGGTAAGCACTAGTGTATTCTTTATAGTAAAGAGTCTGTTTCTTGGTTTGTCTCTCTCTCTCTTTTTTTCCTTTGCTTACTTGTTTTGTTTCTTAAATTCCACATGAGTGAAATCATATGGTGTTTGTCTTTCTCTGACTGACTTATTTCCCTCAGCGTTATACTCTCTAGCTCCATCCATGTCGTTACAAATGGTAAGATTTCATTCCTTTTTATGGCTACTAATAATACATGTATAAATATACCACATCTTCTTTATCCATTCATCTATCGGTGGACACTTGGGCTGCTTCCATAATTTGGTTATTGTTAATAATGCTGCTGTGAACATAGGGGTGCATGTATCCCTTTGAATTAGTGTTTTCGTGGTTTTTTATAAGGACTATTTATTTTAGAGAGAGAGAGAGAGCGCGTGCATGAGTGGGGGGAGGGGCAGAGGGAGGAGAAAGAGAATCTCAAGCAGACTCCCCACTGAGTGCGGAGCCTGACACAGGGCGTGATCTCACAGCCCTGAGACCATGACCTGAACTGAAATCAAGAGTGCTACCACCATTCACAAAGATAAACTCAAAGTGGATGAAAGACCTCAATGTGAGACAGGAATCCATCAAAATCCTAGAGGAGAACATAGGCAAATAACCTCTTGGACATCGCCCACAGCAACTTCTTTCAAGATACATCTCCAAAAGCTAGTGAAACAAAAGCAAAAATGAACTTTTGGGACTTCATCAAGATTAAGCTTCTGCACAGCAAAGGAAACAGTCAACAAAACAAAGAGGCAACCCACAGAATGGGAGAAGATATTTGCAAATGACACTACAGATAAAGGGCTGGTATCCAAAATCTATAAAGAACTTCTCAAACTCAATACCCAGAAAACAAATAATCAAGTCAAAAGTGGTCAGAAGAGATGAACAGACACTTCTCTGAAGAAGACATACAAATGGCTAACAGGCACATGAAAAAATGTTCATCATCATTAGCCATCAGGGAAATCCAAATCAAAACCACACTGAGATACCACCTTACACCAGTTAGAATGGCCAAAATGGTCAGGGAAAGAAACAACAAATGTTGGAGAGGTTGTGGAGAAAGGGGAACCCTCTTACGCTGTTGGTGGGAATGCAAGTTGGTACAGCCACTTTGGAAAACAGTGTGGAGGTGCCTCAAAAATTTAAAAATAGAGCTACCCTATGACCCAGCAATTGCTCTCCTGGGTATTTACCCCAAAGACACAGATGTAGTGAAAAGAAGGGCCATATGCACCCCAATGTTCATAGCAGCAATGTCCGCAATAGCCAAACTGTGGAAAGAGCCGAGATGCCCTTCAACAGATGAATGGATAAAGAAGATGTGGTCCATATATACAATGGAATATTACTCAGCCATCAGAAAAGATGAATACCCAACTTTTACATCAACATGGATGGAACTGGAGGAGATTATGCTAAGTGAAATAAGTCAAGCAGAGAAAGTCAATTATCATATGGTTTCACTTATTTGTGGAACATAAGGAATAGCATGGAGGACATTAGGAGAAGGAAAGGAAAAATGGGCGGGGGGAATTGGAGGGAGAGATGAACCATGAGAGACTATGGACCTGAGAAACAAACAGGGTTTTAGAGGGGAGGGTGGAGGGGGGATTGATTAGCCCGGTGATGGGTATTAAGGAGGGCACGTACCGCATGGAGCACTGGGTGTTATACAAAAACAGTGGATCGTGGATCACTACATCAAAAACTAATGATGTACTGTATGGTGACTAACATAACATAATAAAATTAAAAAAAAAAAAGAGTGGGTCACTCAACCGACTGAGTTACCCAGGCGCCCCTGTATTTTTTAAAAAATATTTGAGAGAAAGAGAGAGCAGGAGCAGGGGGAGGAACTGAGGGAGGAGAGAGAGAATCCCAAGCAGACTCCCCACTGAGCTTGGAGCCCAACTTAGGGCTCGATCCCAGGACCCAAGACCATGACCTGAGCCGGGGAAATCAAGAGTCAGAGCTCAACTGACTGAACCACCCAGGTGCCTCTGTTTTTGTAATTTTTTGGGTAAATACCCAGTAGTTTGATTATGGGATCATAGGGTAGTTCTATTTTTAACTTTCTGAGGAACCTCCATACTGTTTTCCACTGTGGCTGCACCAGTTTGCATTCCCACCAACAGCGCAAGAGGGGAACATTTAGCATTTATATATTTAGAAATGTTTTTTAAAGTGTCTTTTAAATTACAAGAGTTATGTTTTCTTGAAAAACTTCAAATAATACAAAAAACCCCCCACAAAAACAAAAACAGGGAAAATTCCCTTAGTTTTCCTCACTGTCATCCATTCTCCAGAGAAAACCACTGTGACAGTTGAGTGTGTCCCTCAGCTATGGTCTGTGCATAAACAGATGTTTATACGTCATTTTATTTTATTTATTTATTTATTTATTTATTTATTTATTTATTTATTTATTGAGAGGGAGAGAGAGCATGAGGGGCTGGTAGAGAGAGAAGGAGAGAGAGAGAATCTCCAGCAGGCTCCCCGCTGAGTGTGGAGCCTGAGGTGGGGCTTCATCTCACGACCCTGAGATCATGACCTGAACTGAAATCAAGAGTTGGGCACTCAACCAACTGAGCCACTCAGGTGCCCCTATATGTCATTTTAGACACATGGGGTTGTACTACACATGCATTTTTTGCAACCTCCCTTTCTTAGCTAATAGTAGAAGAATGAAAGCTTTTCATATCAACACATGTAGATCTACCTCATTCTTCTAAACGGGTGCATTTTCTATGGGTGTTCCATAATTTAATTTTCCTGTTAATGGACATTTAAGTGGGCTGTAGTAGATACAATATATCTGTATCATTGAGGACTTGCTCAGTACATGTTACATTTTCAAATGGAAGATGAGGGATGCTGGGGAAGGAAAACCCTTTGTAATGATAGTTATAACTGTGACTCACAGCATATAGCATATAGATGTATGCATGCACGTGTGTGTCCCTGGCTGTGTAGACACAGTGCTGTCCCTTAACCCACATGACTGAGGGTGACAAGGAAACAGTCAAGTCCAGGCTGGCCATCTTGGTCTGCTGAAAGAGAGCTGCAGCTGGCTTGGAGGCCTTCCTGCCTTGCAGCTAAGAAAAGTGTCAGCCATGGGGGAGGCAGTCCCTTTGTACAGAGCATGACAGAGGGTGTGTGTGTGGGGGGGGGATGCCAAGACATGTGAAACCTACCAAGGAGGTTTTGTGACCCCAATGATATTTTTTACAGAATGTGGTGGATTCTCAACACAACCACAACGACATCCGCCTCGCAGCAGGTGGGAGAGCAGATGCAATTTGTGAAAATTCTGGGGATGCTTGCTTGCAGTAGGGCCAGGTGTGCAGAGGGCTGGGTGGGGCCTGCTCCTCACTGCCAGGTGAGCTCCCATGCCGCATGCTGCGGCACTCACGTGGGAGGGCATGAA